CAGCGGGGCGCAGAGCTCCCAGATCATGACGGCCTTCCCGGGGATCCGCCCGCGTCGGGCGGTAAGGCTGGCCAGAATGCCGCCCCGGCAATGTGCCGCCCCAAGCATGTGCTTGGTTTGCTGGTGCCTAGAGCCGGCCCTGGTCCCGACTTCCCTCTTTGCCCCTCTTTGACTCTCTTCTTTGATCCGCTCCCCCACGCGGCTGTGAAATACCCATCGCCAGGAACCAGCATCTTTCTTTTCCAGAGATCTGTCCGGTGTGCACGAGAGGCAGCCATTTTGGTCTCAGAGATGCTGTAGTGTGATGCACGGAGGACACCCCCAAACCTCCTCCTGGCCACACTGCCCAGACAGCGGCTGTTCCGCTTCGCAGCAAGGCTAGAGGCTTCGAGTGCGTTCTCACGCCGCACGGGGACACGATGGAAGTGGGCTGCACACTGGGTTTGCTGTGGGGATGGTGCGAGAGAAACTCATCGGATGCTAGAGTAGTGTTTCTCACCACTTTTTTCAAAAAAAGTACCCCTGTTTCAAAAAAAATTATATATAAGTACCCCCAGTACTTACAGTTTTCAAACACACAATTTTTTTTTCCTACCATTGCCACACATTTGTTTAAACAATGTAATCGTAGCTGGGCAGGCTGTGACGGCGCGTTGGGGTTTTCCCGTCTCCTGACCCCCTGTAATGGCGCGAACAGACTCCACCAGCCAGTAGGATTGAGGGAGTTTATTGCTTCTCCAAGATACAGCACAGATGCAATCTGGTTACAGGAACTGGGGCCAGGAGACCTCCTAAATCCCAGCCCCTTCCCCTAGGCTGTCTCCTCCATGCTCCCAGACAGAAACTAACTCACTCACTTCCAGCCCTGCCCCCAGCCACGGCTCCACTCCCCGTCCTGTCCTTCCATTGTTCCGCTCCTTGGGGAAGAACTCGTCAGACAGGTTCGAAGCCCCCTTGCATAATGACTCATCCCCTGCCCTGCTGGGCCGTGCTGCAGACAGCAGCCAGTAGAGGTCACTCACAACCCAAGCCCAGCAACCAACAAGGTATCCACACCACGTCACATATGGTATGCCATATCTTTAGTGCTGTGTACGGATGTGGTCTCCTCACCCAAAAAAGATATTTTGGCCTTGGAAAGGGTTCAGAAAAGGGCAACTACAATGATTAGGGGTTTGGAACGGGTCCCATATGAAGAGAAGTTAAAGCAACTGGGACTTTTCAGTTTAGAGGCAACTGAGAGGGGATATGATAGAGGTCTATAAAATCATAAGTGGTGTGGAGAGGGTGAATAAAGAAAAGTTCTTCATTTGTTCCCATAATAGAAGGACTAGGGGTCACCAAATGAAATGAAAGGACAGCAGGTTTAAAACTAATAAGCGGGTTTAAAACATAGTCAACCTGTGGAACTCCGGCACTAGCCCTGGCTCCCCAGCATCTCAGGGACACGCCCGCCCACCGGGCGACGGAGCGGAAGTGAATCTTCCTCGCCGTTACTGAAACCAACAGCTCAATCACATTGATCTAACTGCGTGTGTTCCAGCTGGTTCTGTTCCTGCACTTTCCTTCTCCCCCAAGCCCTGCCCGGCTCTCCCAGCCAGCGGGGTGTGTAAATCCAGCACAAGTTCGTCAGCAGAGCAGAGGCACTGAGGGGGAGGGGAATCGTTCCCCCACAAAACACAAGTGTTGCCTGTAAGACAAAGTGGTGATTTTCCTCCCTCTCCTTTTCCCGATTCTGCCCACAGCTGGTGGAGTACCTGAAACTCAAGCCGGACGGGCTGATCTACTTCCTGAAGGAAAGCTGCGTTAATCCCAGCATGCCGGCAGGTGAGCTGACCCGTCAGGCGAGACACCAGACCTGGCCTCCATGCAGGGGATCCACCCGAGCCCTGAGGGTCGTTCGGGTTCCTGGCGCATTTGCCTGGCTTGTGGTGGTGCATCGGGGTTCCCCCGATTCCTGCACCCCCGTAATGGCACAGACAGACTCCACCAGCCAGTAGAATAGAGGGAGTTTATTGCTTCTCCAGGATACAGCACAGCATAGATGCAATCTGGTTACGGGGCCAGGCCTAGGATGCCTCAGCCCCCCTTGAGATGGGGGAGCCTGGGCCCCTAAATCCCAGCCTGTTGCTTAGGCTGCTTCCTCCATGATAACAACCAGCCACAAACCTCACTCCCTCACTTCCAGCCCTGCCCCCAGCCAGGGCTCCACTCCCCGTCTTCCCATTGTCCTGCTCCCTGGGGAAGACCTCGTCAGACAGGTTGGAAGCCCCCTTGCATAATGACTCATCCCCCGTCCTGCTGGGCCGTGCTGCAGCCAGCAGCCAGTGGAGGTCACTCAAAACCCACTGCTCAGCATAGCAACCAGCAAGGTACCCCCCAGTACATCACACCCCTGTCCCTGACAGTGGGGGAGGAGGGTAGCTAGAGATGTGGTTTGATAATCTTCAGCAACACACAAATGAAACCCTTTTAAAGCCGATTTGAAGCTCAGGCCCTGCCGGTTGACCCAGTGGCTTCAGGAACCGGCCGTGCGCACCGGGGGCTGGATAATGCCTCCGAAACGGCTTTGCCACCCGCACGTTCACTAAATCCTCTGGCGGGAGCAGAGGCACGGCCCAGGGACAGGACGAGGGGGGAGGGGGGCCATTCAGGTGCCCTACGCAGCTGCGTGGGGGTAGGGACGGCCCTGCAGGCAGGGAAGGCAGCTGCGACAAAGCCAGGTCCAGATGGGGTCAAAGCCTCTGCGGGCGGAAGCTGGTTTTGCACCATTGAATCCCCATTGCCACCCCGAGGGGTCAGGCACCCAGTGCCGCGTTCGGCAAGGAACGAGCCCGGCCCGCCTGCCCCGACCGCTGCGCCA